CCGTGAGCGGCATGCAGTTCGCAGAACGCCTATGGCAGCAGCTGCTTCGACAGCGTTTGGGGCGGTCACAGTGAATGGTTTGGGTATCCGCTGTCCAGACACGTGTCCCCCTGCCCACCACTCCTCTCACGACAGACAGCCTACATAATGACGTCCCCGGCAACAGGCTCCAGGCGCGTCCTCCGGAAATGCCTCCCCGCTGGTCGTCTGCCTCCAATACACGATAGGCGACCGCTGGATGTCAACAATCAGCCCACGACCCGGGAGTCATGGGCCCTGCCACGCCTAACGAGAGGTCGTCGCTGCAGCCGGCCGTATCGCGGCCGTCCCATGTATACGAAATATCGGCTGGCATCCTGCCAGTAATTAAGATAGATATTGGCAGCGGAAGAGAGTGTTTACAGCCGGACCGGCTCGAGCCGACTTTTCGTCGGGCTCGCGCGTCGTTCGTCCGTTCGCGGCGTCCGCAATAGAGTCGAGGAATGAAAATTTCGTATCACCGATTGGCTCGTTTTCTTTTGACGCGTTCAGCGCGAGGGTGGAGAGCGAACGAGCACAATCGCTGCGTGGTTTTCGCATGTAGGTGAGCACAGTGACGTTGGTGACCATCGAGACCTACTGTTATGTTGTAAGCTGCAAAACACCGTCTGGTCGCCCAGGCCCAGCCACTTGCAGTAGCCAGACACCACAGCCGGTCTCATGGGGCCGAGCGGCGCGCCGGGGTGACGGAGGGCGCGTCAAACATGCGCTACTCGTCACGTCCCTTCGACGGCCGCTGTACGTTCATTGGAAAGCGGGGGAAGGGGGAGCGCCGCCCACGGGCGGACAGCGCGCGGCTCCGGCGCCCCGTCCCCCACCTGTCGCGCTCCCCCCGTCCCACCCGGCGCCGGCATCGAGCGTTCCCTGCGACGCAGACCTCCCGGCCGGCGACGTCACCGCCGCATCGGCTGATCCCTGCGCGCCGCCTCCGCCCTGCTCACGGTCCGGGATCCTCCACCCTGCCAGCTCCTCCCTGCCAGCTCCGCCCCTCGCTCCGCGCTGCAGGTGTGCGTGAGCGCGCGCGCGCGCGTGCGGGGGCGGCGGAGGCCGGCTGGAGAGGCTCCTGACCCTCTGCAGCGCGGCCCGCGCCGCAGGACAGCGACAGGACGGCAACGGCTGCACGTGCCGCGGACGGCGAGCGTTGCAGGCCAGAGCCGCCGGCTGGGCGGATTCAACGTGCCAGACGGATACCCTGGCGCCACTTAACTTCGGGCAGAACCAGCTGAACTCGGCGGGTGTGGTGCATGCAGTGGTCTGTTCGCAAGATAATGTTTTCTTGCCCCGATTCAGCGCGATAAAGTACCGGTTTGTCTTGCAGGTGGCGCTTATTTACAAAGACCCGAGTATAGGGAACTCTATGACGGTATCTTTAGTGAGGATTATGACCTTAGAAGACGATCTTCTGGATGAGGAAGAGGAAGATGAGAAAAGGACGGAAAGTCAGCTTCTGCGATGCTGCACAGGTGCGTTACATTGTGACATCACAGTTCGTTTTATATGTATTCAAAATTCAAAGCCACGTTTGGCACGCTTTCCCTCAGTTTGACCTCTGTTGCTTGGCCTTTGTACTTCGCTCCTCGGAGCTCGTCCGTCATCATCGCAGCATACAATGCTCACCCGGCCGACAAGGGTCTGGACTGCACAGCAAGGCGACGGGTCTAGACCATTGTCATCAATCTTGTTACCTTTGGTGACTCGGAATTATCATCTGTACGTTGCTGACTTGGATCTCCCATAGGACGAAAGGCCTCCGCCCGGTGCTTACTCGACAAGAAGCTGTGCTCGGGACGTGGTACTTCTGGGTTTGTTTCGTTTGTTGTGTTTCGATTGGTGTGTGTGCTGTTCAGCGCTATTAACTTGGCGCCCACTCCAGATTTTGCAAGTGGCAACAGAACCACAACGACAAGGACGGTGAAGGGCAGGGGCACTTCGACACCGCCGTGCTTCTTACCAGGTATGTATACTTACAGAGCCCCTGCGAGGACGAGGGCTAATCCCCGATCCCTCCCTTATCTCAGAATCCCTGCTTACGAGGCTGCAGCTGAGACCTTAAGCGTCGACATCTTGGGTGGAAACAGGAGCCTGTGGGAGCTCCCCGTGTCCAGGGGACCGAGCCCAGTCTCTCTCCTTAAACCATCACTCTCAATGTATTCTGTCACCATTGCTCCCACCTGATCTTTACCTGTACCGAGTCATTTATAATGCGCGGACTGAAGCACTCTACTCTGCTACGCACCGTGCCGCAACGTTTTGAATTCGACCATTTAACTGCTCGGTAGAGAACACACAACCGCGGAGGTGCCTTCATCGGCCTGCCGGTGCCCAGCCCGGGGCTGGCCGGTGAGGGCCGGTGCTCAGGCGGCGCGTGACGTTTTGAAGTGGTCACGTGGTCCTCGTTCAGCTCTAGTGGGTGCCCGTCACTCAAGGCTAAGGCTAATACTTGAGCGCAGTGTGAGCAAACCGTGCAGTGGTGGAGTTCGGCTCTGCAAACTGTGCACGGGTTTGCGCGAAACACATTTCTATTCCGATTTGCTCTGAAATGATTGGTCAGAACGGCATGTTTGGCTCGTCTCAATCCAAAGAATTGGGTCGCTGAGATTGGGATGCATTAGTGGCGATTGGTGCAACAAAGTCTGCCCCTCCCCATACAGATTAGAGCTACCAACAAAGTGATGATCTTAAGGACGAGAAAAACAGTTCGTTTTGACTCTGGAAGGCAGTTTTGCAGCCCCAAGAAAACTCTCAGCATCTAAATATCATCGCGTTTGTGCTTCGCCTTCGGCAACGGTGGAAGCAGCCAACGGGGTGGCTTATGAAGCTACAGCCCGCCCCCATCCCTCCCCCTATTCGGGTTCAAGCGCAGTTTTCACCACGTCACTACTGAAAGACATTATCATGGACAGCGATATGTAAAGCAACGGCCGTTATCTGGTAACAAGGCTGGCGGGTAGCCGTGGGAATATGTGCGGTACGCAGCTGCAGCAATTGTTAAAGGCACCAGGGCAAACCAACATCAATAGTTCATTGATACGCTGGGTACTGGACCATAAGCGTTTGTGTGGTATGTTGGCCTGTTTGCAGTGCGTAGGTACTCTCCATTGACAGTACCTAGGCAGTACCACACTATAAGGCTGGGACTCGCTCGAAAGAAAGCCCCTCTCCCATCGCAAATCGCGATAGCTCCTCTCGTCGCAAATTCTGGCTGTGCTCCTGTTCGGCAGTAGCGCTTTAGAATAAGATGCTGTCATGAAGCGTCATTTTTGCGTACACTTCTTCTCAAAATCCCCGTGTCAGGGCCAAACTTTTCAGATTTATTTCAGCGTCAAGGTAGAGCTTATGTTAGAACATCGACGCTAAACAAACGGGTGGTAATGCCACAACTTTCCACGTAACGGCCTTAAAACGCAGCTTCTTGGTGGGCTCAGTTCCTAAACGCAACTGTGGCCTCAATGGAACTGACAGTGCTCAGATGTGTTTCGCGCCCCAATGTTTCACAGAACGGTCGCTGTCAAATACTTGCGTGGCATTGTTGTCCCGTTCTCCTTGAGCCGGGTTTGTGTTGAGTTTGGCCACGACATGTCTTCCGTCAGCACACAAACAAGCAGTCATTAGAGGCGAGCACGTCGAGAACGCCGCCGGCGTGCGGCGGGAGATCGCCGCAATCGGTGTTTTTGCTGCGGTCGGTCTGTCAAAACAGGGCGATGCGCGCTCCCCGCACGCCGCGCGCCTCCTCCCATCGCTATGGCAGCCCGCTAATCGCTCGGTGCGCCTCGACTAGACATGCGGGCAGTGGCTGGTGGAGGCGGGATGCGCCGGATATGTCTGTCACGCGTCGCGTCTCGTCGCCACTGACACGGCAGGGCAGCTTTACATGGAAGCTCAGGCGGCGGCAGGAGCGCGTTTGCCGCGAGCTAGGCGCTCAGGCCGCGCTTGCGTTTCCTGCGAGACGGAAGGATCACTGAATCAAACTCTGGATCTCGCCGCGGCCTTGGCTGCCTGTTACCACTGATGTATGGCGTGTTCTAAAGGCGTGCACAGTACTGGCCGTGGCAGCAGATAACATGGCGCAAATTGATGGCGGCTGTAAATTTCGACCTCACATGGCTTATCAGCTGTGTCAACAAACTCCCCACTTTTCCAAATGTGCAGGGCTTCTGCCCGCTCATGTCACGAGGTGTGCCTGCCAGTGGCTGCCGTTCATTAGTTGTGTCGCGGACCCCAGCGCCGCCAAAGTATCGCCACCGTTCCCAAATAGGGTGCTCGAGCCGCAACAAACATCGACATCCAGGGGCGCACTTGTTTCGGCCGGCTTGACAATGTGAGCCCGACGGGCCCGTCCAGAGGACGTTGGCTTTCTGCCAAAGCTTATCGACAGTAAGGGGAGGGCTCGACCCCCGCTGCTGGTCCCTGGCGGATCTGGTGCGAGGGAGCTATCACTTATATGTTCCCCGGGGCTTCTAATACCGGTTATCCAATTATTACAATCTGGAGAGATTTGTCTGCAGGACATGGGGCCGGACTCACCACTGCTGATGTCATGTAATAGATATTGGCCCGTCGGGAGTACTGGCACCTTTGTCTCGTTGGCCTTCCTCGAAATGAATGCGCAACCGCGGCTTTGTTGCTAGCAACAAAGAGGGGCGAAGGGACGGTGAGGGTGCATGCAACAGGAATCATTACGCATGCCCGACCGACCAGGCTCGATTCACCCCTGGAGTCAGACACATCTCCGCGGTCCCAGAATATAGCCGAACAGCTGTCAGTAATGCCCTTTGCATGCACAGCGTAAGCTGTCTGCTTACCGTAATGGCAGCTGGCTAACGCTGCGTGTTGTTGGTCTCTGCCGGGGATGGTTTCCCGAACGCCGTTGTTGGTGCACCTGTTGCCGCTGTCAGATCGTCAGGAAGTCGGGCGGGAGGCGCGCGCGGTGCCAGCCAGGAAGATATGGCAGCCGGGAGGATATGGCAGCCGGGAGGGTGTGCCAGCCGGGAGGTATGGCAGCCGGGAGGACATGGCAGCCGGGAAGGATATGGCAGTCCCCACCGGAAGAGCAGTCTGCTCCTGGTCAGTTCGAGGATAGGTACTTGTCATCCCGGAAGAACGGTCGGCTCCTCGTCCGTCTGGGAGGACTCCCATCCTCGCCGAAAGAGCGGTCAGCATCCATGGTTCGTTTGCTCTGTCCACTGACAGACCCCAGGTGGTGAAAGCCCCGCCTCGCGGGACATCTACGCCTTTCAGGCCCACCGCCTGACTATACACTCCCGGCTTATCCGACGTGACCACTGTAGGGTCACTGCGACCCAGCTCGCTCACATGTAGGTCTCTCGATGGCCGCTCTGGCGCTCGGCTCTCTCACGGCGCGCCCTTCGCCCTTCACTGCGCCTGGATACAAGGGCCATCGGTTCGACAGGGACCACGTAAATCGGCCCGGCACCGGCTGTGCATCACAGGTGATATCGCGCCAGCAGCCAGCGTAATGTATCGCCGGCCCGGGGCCGAGCCAGGCGCCCGGTAATGGCTGCACGTGCGCACACAGACGCGGCAGCGACGCCGTGATCCGGAGACCACCGCGCGCAACAGTTACATAATGGGGCAGCGTTGCAGCGCGGTGCGGCCGCGTGCGGCCGAATGGTCTGGTCACCGGACGTGTCCTGCAGCAGGTAGCGTGTCGCGGTCGCGGGTTTGGAGCCCCTTGTCCCTGTGACGATTTTTCGTTGGGCGCGCCGCGAACCGTGGTCGGGGGATGCGCCAGGAAAATCGCTTTGGTGGAGTTGTTTCGACAGACGCCGCTTTGGTGGAGATGCGGCCCGAGACACAACCTGCCGCCCATTGGTAGCGACGATGCACATTCTTTAAAGCCAGCACTCGGCAGTTTTCGCGGAACGTATTCCATGTCGGGCTACCGGTTCCACATGCGTCTAGCCTGTGGCGCGGTGAGGCGGGGGTGTGCCACTCGTGAGCTCAGCAACAGCCGCGAGCCGTTAAAGTGGCCGGCGCCGGCGCCGGCGGCTGAGTCACGCTCCGGTCCGCGACTACTCGCTCGTGATGCCAGCTAGTGATGACCCTGGCGGGGCGGCACGTCAACACAGCCGCCGGCTTCTGCTGCGGCCGCCGGCCTTGTGGCCCGCCGCCCGGCCGGGCGGGCGGCGGGCGGCGGGCAGCGGACGGCGGGCGGCGCGGACGGCTGCGGCGCCGAGATGAGGCGGTGGCGAGGCCGTTCATCAGCAGGATCACCGGCTGATTTAGCGATGGTAGGATTTGCCCTCTGTGGACTCGCCGGCGAAGGCTCTTAGGAAACCTTTTTATCGCGCAACAGACATAAACATAAGCCGTGTTTGGTTTATTTTGTTCGGTTTATGACCACTGGTTGTGTGGTTCATCGAATCATGTCCACTTGCCTCACTGTCGTCCTCGATGGCCTTTAGAAAATCGTTTAATGGATAAAGGCTGGCTCAATGGCTCAATGGATTTGGGTGACTTCTGTGCTAGTGTAGCTGACATATTCTAGGATCAGATTTGCCAATATTTTCGTGCTTTGTCTTCTCAAAGAGATCAAGGAAAAAGGCACGCGAGATGCGTATGAGGGTACACGTCAGGTTTACTCGCCTCAACTGCTGCTTCTCGTGCCCGGTTTTAATACGAACCTTCAGGCGGCTCGTTAGTGGACCGTGTGAAATACAGTCGGGGATCGGCGGCCGGAGTCGGCGGCGGCCATTCATTTGAGCCCGATGCATTATCAGTGACAGCACGCCAACTGCAGGACGCTGAACCCGTGTGACGCTCCCAGAAACTGACGCCCAACAGCGGTTCGCTCAATCACTGGTGCAATCGTTGTTTTCAGTTCGAAATAGAAGGCGTCAGGTAGCACTAACAGCGCTCACCGAACTGTCGGTTGACGAGAGCGTTGCGTGCGCCAAACGCATTGTCTTGTCGGCAGCATTTTCTGTTATGGATAAGTCGTGCGCGGAGAGGGGGGCATTCTGATTGCTACTTGTCGGAGTCCGTCATTTTTGCCCCTATTCCGGAGCACTCCAGTTGGATCATTACCCATCCATTTGTAACATAAACTTCGGCATCAGAGAATCGGATACAGCGCTTGACACATGTCAGCTTACCCTTGTCTTCTTAAATGTGAGCCCGGCTTGACCCGACGCTATGTCCCGTTGTGCGGGGAGTTCACCTTACTTTTGCAGTGCTGCATGATCACCAAGCGTTGAGGCTAGCCGTCTTGCCCGCCGACCCGGCCTGCCAGGACCTGACTTGAGACAACATGATGTGACCTGACCTGACCCCGCTCTGTCGTACAGGGAGAACATGTGCCGGAACCCGGCATTGTAAGCGGTGCGACACGTGGGGTCTGGCCGAGCTGACCTGACCTGACCCCGCGCTCTGTCGTACAGGGGAGAACATCTGCCGTAACCCGGCTCTGCTGCAGCGGTGCGACACGCTGGGCCTGGCCGAGCTGGGCACCATGTGTGACCCACGCGCCTCCTGCTCAATCATTCAAGACAACGGCCTCAGCGCCGCCTTCACCGTGGCGCACGAGCTCGGACACGTGTGAGTGGCTGGGTCGTGTAGGACACGTGCGAGTCGGGCGTAATGCCCCGCTCAAGCCCGACAGGCACGTCTTCTCAGGGGTTAGGACAGTGCAACTTGTGGCCACGGGGGTCGGGCACAAGGCGAGGAGCCGGGCGTTAGATGCGATTTTATTGCGTGTGTGCGGAGGGGACTGAATGACCGAGCTCGTCCAGGTGGCGGCGGTTTTGCGTTGGCTTCGGATGCTAGTTAGCTGCGATCTCCTCGCCAGAGTACAAGACGGAGCGTGCTGTTTTGTCACAGTGGATCTTTGCGGCGGCTGTGACCATAAACTCGTATAGTTCTGGTGCCCACGCGGTGATGGCCGTCCGCCGCCGGACGCCCAACATAACCAGGGGCGCCGCTGTTGCAGGCTCAACATTCCACACGACGATGACTCCAAATGCCTGCCGTACATGAGCGTCGACAAGATGCACTTCGTCATGTCCCGGATGCTGGACCACAACACGTTCCCCTGGGCTTGGTCCAACTGCAGCCGCCACTATCTCACCGAGTACCTCGAGGAGTGTCCGGCGCAGGGCGCCCTCGGAAGCCGCGCCGCCGCCGCCGGCTGCAGGCACTAAAGAGTCGCTGACTTGTTGCGATTTGTCTGATGGCCGCCTCAGACGCGACTGGCGGGGTCGGGTAACCGTCCGACCCTGAAGTAAATGAGCCGGGTGCTCCTCCTGGAGCACGTGGGCTGGCGTGCGCCCCCCGGCTCCGGTGGGTGCAAGGGTCGTCCAACTTCGCCTCTCATGCGTCACATCCATCGCCGCAGCTGTCTGCAGAGCGCCAGCGCTAACACATGGCGTCGTTGGGACTGACGACCCCGGCAAGTTATCACTCGATCAGCGCCCTATACGTCCGGACGAGCGCCGCCAAATCATGCTGCGGCGGCCGTGGGCGCCGCACGCCGCGTCTTTGGCCCAACTCGAACATGGGCTGTTACAATAGCGCGCAAATTAAGCCGTGTACTGGCTGTGCCACAGGGCCCTCCGCCCAGGCTCCAACCGGCTCTCGGCGTTCCCGGCTGTGACCTATTGTTTGCAGCACAGGTTGGAATGGCGGGAGTTGCCAGCGGGAAGTGGTTGCTCACCGGTGTCCTGACTCAGCGACTGCGTTTGAGGCTCCATGGACGGGAGGTTACGTAATACGATGTCTCCCCCACCGAGCGGCGGCTGTGACAACCGGCAGCCATGTACCACGCTATGGTTGGCCACCGACGATGCCAACTTAGCGCTGCAAGGCGACTGATTCGGCAACTCGTGGTCAATTGGACGATGCATTGGACCGACTTGGCTCAGCGTGACCATAGGGAGGGCGTGGAATCAATCCAATGCTCGACTGTGTTGACCCTGGCCTTTGTAAGGCTCAATGTTGGAAAAATCGACGTAAGCCTCCATACCAATTCTCCTTGATTGCACCATTTCGATGTCTGTAGGACTACTTCCCAATGTTGCTAACTTCTTGCTACTGTCTGGGACAATATTATGACAGGACTGAAAGCATCTCGAGAGCAGGCAATATTAACACGCGCTCGGGTGGGGATCAACTTGACCCACCCAAAGCTTTTCCAGAATGGTTTCCGAACGGCGCGGTGTAGCCGCACCAAATTTTGCCAAGCTGTAGACAATTGAAAAGCGGATCGTTTGACATAAAAATTTAGATGCATCTTGTAAGGTCGCTGGCCTATGGCAGGTCAGTCAGGCCATGGTTTCCGCTAAAGCAATTCCAGGGAATCGTTCAATCTGATCCAACAACGGAGTGTTTGACAAAGCCATACATCTCTGAGATGCCTTCTTAGGCACCACAAATATTGGATGAGCGAATAAGTTGACCTGAGGTCAGGTATTAAGGTCAGACCACGGGTCAAAACCAACCTGATTTATTACTCGAGGGCCTGCTTTATGGGATAGTTTATGGTGCTCATTTCGAATTTATTGACAGCAGGAGCCGCATTATACATCTTCATTGGCTTCTCCATGTCAGAACAGGTCAATGACCTAAGATGACCCGGGTCGACATTTTGTTTTAGGAACATACTGCCTAGCGTAATCTTGGTCGCTTATTCAAATGCAAAACTCAGAGAAGCCTTGTATGATTTTGGTCACCATGACCTTGAAAAAGTCAAACAAGGTCACTGACCTCAAATGGGCTTGTGATCTTTTGCTTAGAAACAGTTGCCTAGGTTCTGGGGGGCACTTTGGAGATCATCCTGGAATTTGGCCTCGTTTGACCTTATTTGACCTGAATGTCAAAGGTCAAGGACCTAGGAGGCCAAAAATTTGATCTAAGTGAGTTCACGTACAGGTCAATACACGCTATAGATTTGATGTATCTAGTTTTCTTGGTTCTCGAGATCTCAGGGGGGGGGGGAAATGAACCCTCTCACCCCCACCCCCACCCGAGCGAAGGGTATCTAGCCGGTCATACCGGGCGCGTATTAAGGGTGTGTTCGCACCAAGAATGCTCTGCTCTACTTGACATCATCGTAGATATTTGCCGGACGTATTCACGGCGCGACACGACTTCTGTCTATAACTCCTTAACTGCCGTGACAATAACCGCGCATGCAACGACGCCCAAATTTGGGTTTGGTGGTACTCTGTGTGCACCAACAGTGGAAACTGCAAATTATGTTATTTGTGATGCACAGGACACCGTTTCATCACCCGTGGGCGACTTTGGGCACGCAAAATGGCTTGTTTATCATTAAATATGTTGCGCCATTTTTGTCTCACTTTGAACAAGTCGCGGAAAAAGATTATGTGCGTTGGGCAATGATTCAATGTGACGCCATGTATAATCTTTGCCGTCCGGCTCGCTGCGAACGCCAAAAGGCTCAGAGTCTCTGGGGCGTGACGTCATCAGTGACATCGACGGCATATATTCTTTGTCGCTCGGCTCGCTACGAAATGCGCCCTAAATTGGTAATCCATGTACTCAATTACTGTTACCCTGTTGCGTTTTGCAGAAACGCTTTTATGTCTGATGGCCACGAGTATGCCTGATCCTCGTCGTACACCTGTAACCAAGTCAGCCTCTCAACAGGAACATTGTTCTCCCGTCAGTGCGGGCACCAGACGTTGCCAAGATGTGACAGCGAGACACTGGCATTCATCCGCATCCCGCCCGTCCTGCCGTTGGCCTGCCTTGACCTTGAGCCGGGACGGGGTCACGGCCCCTGACCCCGGTCCGCCCACCCCGTCCGGTCACGTCACACCACCAATCCCCGCCGCTGGGCGGAGGCCGGGTCGGCGCCGAAATAAGCCGGCGCGGCCGGGGCCGTCTTGACCGGCGGCCAGCGGACGGCCCCGCCCCCGCGCCGGCGCCCTGCTGCTTAGTGGGGTGGACGCGTGACTCAGCAGCGCCGACACGCCGACGCGTGTCGACCGGGCGGCTACGGACAGGGTCGGCTGGCTCCCCGCCGAACCAGCCCTCCTGGAGGCACTGAACGGCCCCCGGCAGGCCGGACCGCGACGGGCGCTCGCCGGGGCACTCCCGAGACGGGCGCTGATGAGTCAGCCGAGCTGCGCGGCGGAAGACAGCCCGAGCCGTCGACGAACACGAGTCGCCGCTCCGGCGGCTTCGTGGGGGAGATCGGACACCGGGCTGCCGGTTCCGCTAGCCACCGCCAGGGACCAAGGGCGTAACCGTCACCGGGGGCGATCGGGTCCGGACCTAGATAAAGCGTAGGCAGACTGGACTATTTTTGTGCTTTGACCATACAGGCTGTCACCAAAACAGGCCGTACTTGCAAGGCCTGATTCCGTCCACGGCCACGGGCTCATGTGCACTGCCGCCCGCGGCCCGCTGCAACGTTGCTCAGGTCCTTATTGATTGAATTTCATCAATTGGTGGCATGAGTCAGCCGCGCCGACACCGCCCCCCCCCCCCCCCCCCGGCGGCGGGTGAGGGGTTGCGGCGGGCGCAGACGGGCCGCCGGCCGCCCAACCGGGCCGCTCAGACGGCGCCGAGCCGCCGCCGGCGCGAAAATAATCACCCGCCAATTGTTTACATTGGACGCTGGCAAATGTGCTGCGATACACATATACAGGACGGCCGAGCAATGAGACCGTCGCCGGTCGGGGCCTTGACGCGCGTACGATCAGAACGCTGTCGCAGACTTGCATGCGGCATACAGCAGCTGTTGCTGATGCTGCGGGCCGCGTCCGCAGGCAGTTTGCAATTTCTGTCATTGATCGGCATGCAGGTGCCTGCCACGCTGCAGACTATTTATTTCCCCATGCCTGTCGGGCGCCTTGTGAAAAGCACGCGTCCTATCAGCACCCTATCGCGGCTGGCGTTTCCCGTCAACAGATGGCGCTGCAGCAGTAGGGCTGTCGCTGAACGGAGGCGTTCTGGCGGGCGCTGAGAGAGCTGCAGCAACTGTACCCGCTTGGGATAATGGGGTTCTTTCCATTTCCATGATTGTGCTGCTCATGTTTTATGCATGCGTCGGATCCCCACCAGCTCCCAGTGTCTGCCTCCAGTGACCCATCACCTCCCCCTTCCCATCGCTAACTGCGTCCAATTACCACAGTGACTCGGATGCGCTTCTTGTGTCGTGGGTCAAACGCCGCGTCGCATGTATTTACTGGCGTTCAATTGTTTTAACCTTGGGATTTTAAACATGGTTTAGCCAAGGTAACCATTAGCCGAACAGAGGAAACGCACTGCTTAAAGATACAAAGTGGCACCTATACACATGGCCGAAGACGCTGGCTGCCGTCAGCTCGGACGCAGGCACGAGCTTCCTCACACAGCGGCCTCATTCACGTTCTTTTTCTGCGGATATAACATGATTTCCCTCTTTGCGGTGGCACCGCGCTCCGTCCCGACGCTACCTACCCACGCGCTGAGCGTCGCCCCGCGCCGAGAGCCGTCCCCGCGCCAGTTCTGTCCCCGCGCCAGGTCTGTCCTCGCGCCAGTCCTGCCCCCGGCCGTGCCTGACCTGGCGGTCGTGACCTGTTCCAGCGCCGGGTACGGTGACTGTCTGCTAAACTCGCCCAACACCAACTACCTGCGCAACACGGGCCGCGGAGCACGCACAGACCTGGCAGGCGAGACGTATGACGCCAGCCAGCAGTGCAAGTTCGTCTTCGGGGACCAGTTCGAGATCTGCTCCTACATGGTAATGCGCCGCCGAATTTGGCTCCGGCTCATGGGTGACCAGTGATGGTGTTTTGATGTCTGCCACGTGCATTACTTTTGGTATGTTTTTTCTCTCTCTTCCCCGGAGGTGCTGTTAAGCGGGTTTGGCTTGATGGTGTCGTGCTGTTGAAGTTTCCCGTTGCGTTTTGTTTTCATCGCCTGCACTTGGTCCAGTAGCATACAGCTAATTTGCTTTTGTACAGTTGTGTCTTCGTTGAACACCATGACGTCATGTTGCATTTCTCTAAAGCGCGGTGAAAGGGTTCGCACCAAAAGCTTTTTCGCCCAGTCAGCCTACTGTATTTTTACTTTGAAAAGACCCGACACTGACGAAGGTCATAGCCGGCTGAAGAGTGGCAGGGACATAGCAACAGCAGCAGCCCTTGGCTCTTACATCCACACCGGCTATGGGTGCGATTCATCTGCCTACACGTCCCCTCGAAGACATTGATTACTAGCTTTGGCCGCTCAGACGTCGTGTTTGGGAGCGATATCTCCACGGATCTGTCAGGAGCAGGTGGATTAAAGGACTGGGTTGCCATACTGAACTGCACTCGATGCGAGTTGCACAGTATGGTGTTGTTGTGGCATTGACCTGACAGCACATACGTAATCCCCTATTATAGGGCTCGCGCCCCGCGTGATTAGCATATCACATTTCCATCGCGTTGCTATGCAACCTTAGCCTTCAGGTATGCAGCATCTCATATCATGAACACGTTTGTAAGCAATGCAAACTCTGAACCATGAACATAAATCACATGAATGTCCTCATATGTAGAAGAGCCCCGAAAGTCAGCAAAAGCGGAAGCTTGATGACTAAAACAGCAGTTGTGTAATTTACATAGTATACGCCGTCGGCGACACATAGATGAGTTCAACAGACCTGGAGGCGCCCCGGTCCGTCCTTCCGACGGCTTGTGAACAGCTATGTTAGTCTGTTTTGAACACATTTCTCTGTTCTGCATGTCAGGTGGTCTGTGGCGGCCCTGGTTTATGTTTTATATTTCAGCCGGTCTGTAAGCTTCCGTTGATTCCTACTTCAACCCGTCTGAAGCGGTTCTGTCTCCCCGTTCCCATCCTGTCTCATAGTCCTTGTCCCTGCTGCATCCGTTCCGTGATCATTAGCTCTGTTCACTCTTAGCCCGTTCTCAATGGTTCAGTCCCTGTTTCGGCCTGTTTGTCAGCGTCCGTCCCCTGTTTGTCTGTCTGTTGGCGCTTGCCCCTGTTCCAGCCTGTTTGTAAGCGTCGGTCCCCTGTTTCAGCCTGTCTGTTGGCGCTTGCCCCTGTTTCAGCTGGTTTGTAAGCGTCGGTCCCCTGTTTCAGCCGGTTTGTTGGCGCCTGCCCCTGTTTCAGCCGATCTGTAAGCGTCTGCCCGCCGTTTCAGCCGGTCTGTAAGCGGCTGTGGTGCACCTCCGGCGAGGAGGAGGCCGGCTGCCGCACGCAGCACATGCCGTGGGCGGACGGCACCGCCTGCGGCCCGGACAGGTGGTGTCAGCGCGGCGAGTGCCGACCGCGCTCGCCGCAGGCCGACACCGTGCACGGCGCCTGGGGCGAGTGGGGCGAGTAAGTGACGCGCTGCTCGGGCCGGTGGAGGGGGACCGAGCTGCGGCGGCGGGCGGCCGATGGCAGGGTCCCACCCTCCGCGGGTCACACGGTGTCGCGAGTCGCTTGGGTGGCGCCGTGTGACGTGCTGCTCCTCGAGCCAGCGGCTGGACCGCCTGGCAGGGGATGGATCGATCAGACGGGGTGTCCAGAAAGGGGGGGGGGCTGATGTACAGCACAATGGGCCCGTCGAATTCCTCGGTGCATGTCTTGCGTGATCGCTTCGCTGACTTGTCTTCCTCAGACATGCGGCGAAGAGAGGCAGCAGCGGTCATCGCTCTCGCTGTCATTCGTTTAAATCGCGCGGAATTTTTATTCTTCGGCAGCTTGACAGGGAAGCTGATTTATTGTCGTAGACCGAAGGGTGGGAAGGTGATAGTTTGCAAATAGTAAGCACCAATCATCCCATAATCAAGTCGGGTCATTTGTCTGCATGATGCTGATTGATGACTTGTCACTGACGCACGGATGGGGGGCAA